ACCAAAAGGAATGAGGGGACCATCAAATCTCGATCCAAAACGTAATTCCCATGGTGATTTGTCTCCCCCCGTTGCAATGACATTCTGCATGAAACACCAATGTCGGGCAGCATGTGGCCAGTGCCAATGATTCAGACCTGCTTGGAGCAGATTGACACGAGTGCCTTCAAGAACTGACCGGACCGCTCTCTCGGCTTGGGCGTTGGACTTGGATATGTAGTCCCTACTCAAAACATGACGGCACTGAAGAATCTTCATTGCTGATATCAACTCGGGTGCATTGTCACTGTAGAAAACTCCTATCTTATCTTCATGTCCAACAAAATGTTTGATTGCCAAGATTGCAGCATTGGTGGTTCGTCTGGCATTGGGGTAGACATACATAAATCCTGTTGCTATGTCTTTTACCACGAGTGCACTTTTCTCTTCATCAATTCCCAACTCATCTTCATCTCTGGTGACAATAAAATCAGCGGTGATGTGGTCACCAAATTTCTCAGCTTTAACTTTGGTTGATCCGCCTACAGCTCTTGAGGGTGGCTTGAACATCTTAGCTCTGGTACATATGTCGCAAAAGGGGTTCTTAGGGATGTGAGTCAGCATATGTCGAATGGACTTAGCTTCTTCTTTCAACTCCTTTTCCCCGAGTGACCTTTTGTGAGCACCATCATCATGGACATTACTACTGCTACCGTTGGATACTTCCACAGGCGGCTCAACCTCCCGGTCGGCATCAGGAACATCAACCTCCTCAGTCTCCATGGGCTGGGGCTCCGGTAAATCAACATTGATACCCATGGGGTCATCACCAATGATTTCAATGTCCCCATCGGGCTCCGGAGATTGTTGAGCTTCATCTGATGCCGGGGTGGCAACACTTGGTCTGGGCTGAGTTGATGGAGTGGAAATCGTCTTTGAATTATTTGCAAAGTAGGGTACGTAATCTCTGACAACTAACTCAATGCGTTCCCCGTTTGGTTTGACCATGTAAGGAGGTTCACCTTTGGAGCCTCTCCATATGAAGTCGTAACCATCATCAATGCATCTCATCCCGACTGAAATGACAGGAGGTGAGCTTCGAACAAGATATGGGTCAATGGTCTTGCCTAACTTCGGAACAAATACTTTACCTTGTTTCGACGACGAACTTTCACCATTGGCAGTAATCATGCGAATGGGATTGTTGGAGTAGTATCCATAGTTATCTGGCAATTCGCTATCATTGACAAGATCTTGAGCGCTCCCCGTATCAGCAATCCAGTCAAGTTCGAGGTTGATCGCTCCCTTCACGTCTTCTCTACATTCCGCAGGGGTGGCTTTGATTCCCTTTGGGATACATTCATTGCAACCAAAATCTGTGTCACATAAATAGGCACATTTGCATTCTATTCCCCGAAGACAATTGGAAACAGATCCTGCCAACATGGTACCGGTCAAAGCGGCATCATTCACAGCAAGTTGATCAACTTCAAACTGATGTCCCCATGGAAAGGTAACCTTATCCTTGGTGACTGCGTTTCCAATTGGCCTCAAGTTCCCTCGGACTTTAACATGAGATACGTCCGGCGAATCATCAAAACGAATCGATGGACAAAATACTCTTGGTTGAGGGATACAAAATGCCTGAGACACGGATGCAAGCATGGATGCAACAAGACAAACTGCGGCAGGAGACGGCTTAGATGAACTGGCCCCGGATCCTTTAGACTTCGGGGATTTCGGGCTCTTGGGGCTCTTAGAGCGGCTAGAGCTTCGGGATCCCTTCCTTTTCGGGTTCTTGGGATTTCTCTTTTTATTTTTGTTTTCGCTACTGGCCGAACGGGCAGGAGTAGCTTGTCTTGGCTTTCCCACTGAACCCTCATGAAGGAATTTGCAATCAGCTCCTCTATCGCAACGTCCCTGTTTCCAAAACTTGCAAATCTTCTTACCTTTCCCCTTTGGTCTGGGAGAACCAGAACGTTCATTTGAGCGACCTCTGGTTTTGCTGGGTTTGCGACTTCTATCACGTGGCTTGGGGACTTCATGCTTGTAAGTACAGTTGTCCTTGCTACAGCCTCCCTTATTCCATGCCACACAATACCCCTTGGGAATGAATCCTGTCTTGCCCTCGACTGCGGGAGCGGAGGGACGACCGGAACCCGAAAGACCTTTGGCAACTCGATCACGATTTGCCTCCAACCTCTCACGGTCAAGGTGGCGTCGCACGGCAGAAACAAGAAAACTGTAGTTCCGTTTTTCGGTTCCTTCATCAGCTCTATGATACTCATTCATGTCATGTTGGATGGCCTTACAATTCTTCACTTGTTTGTAGAAGAGTGTCTCCAATACACTTACATCAGGAGTCTGGACGATACCAGCCAACACTTGATCCCAGTTCGAAATGAAAGACTTCAAATTCTCCCCACGCAATTGGACACTGAACAAATCTTGAAGGGCATAGGTTGCTCCGTGCTTGATGTTGGTACTGAAGTGGTCATGCAACATGAACAACACTTGTCTCCCTCTTACAATTCGTCCAGCGGTGGCTTCAGTCTCTTTGAAGGTGTCTACCTTGCGGGCGAAGTCACCAGTGATAATGTTGGTGAGTGCAGAAAGTAACTTTGCATCAAGTGTCGCAAACGGCGCAACCTTCCGGAGCGCTTCAAGAGTCTGATCTTCTTTCCAAGAATCACTAACCCACTTGAAAGCACTGTCGGGATCGGTTGATGCTGCTACAACTGCCTCTCTGGTCTTGATTCTCCAATTACGGTAGGTTTCCGCCAATGGGAAAGCTGGAATTTTGATAGTGTCAGCTTCCTTGACTTTGGGTTTATCGTCATGCCTTTGGTCGACGTAACCACCAAGAAATTTGATCATTCTTCGCCTGAACTTTTCATCATCATCATCATCGGGATCATCATAACCGTCATCACCACCGTCGGGGGGGTTTGGATCATTTCCCTTCTTTTTGGGAACCTTACGACCCTTATTTCCCTCCGGCTTGTCATCAGGTGGTGAGGGTGGTCCACCTCCCCCGTTCCCTCCGTTGCCATCTCCTCCATCCCCGGGATCGTCACCATCTGGCAGATCATCTCCCCCCGGCTCGAAGTAGTCCACTTCATCTGGGCCTAGTTCGGTCGGGGCATATTGATTGGTCGGCGCAGGGGAATTGACATTATCCATGGGATGGTTATCTCGGCGTCGATTATTGGCCTCTCCTCCCGAAGGGCGTTCCTCAGCGGAAGACCTTGCAACATCCGACTCTTTCTTCACTTGAACTGGGACTCGATATGAGGGATCATGATAAATAATCTCAATGCCATCCTTTTCATAAGTTTCAGTACCAGGTGAAGCAAAGCTAATTGGTGCTCTTGGAATAGGAGGTCGGGCAACACTCGTCGGAGGCGCTGCAGGTGCAGCTTTGCGGGTTGGTGGAACAAACTCGAAATTTGGGATCTCCGTTGATGTGTGTGTTCCGGCTGTCATAGTCATGGCGGCAGTCTCGACAATAGGACTTGGACGAACCTGAGCAAATTGGGAATCGAGCATACTTTGAAGTTTCAGATTGTGTTGCATCTGGGCTTGTACCATGTGTTCAAGCTGTGTAATGCGTTCATTCTGAATCCTTCTCTCTTCCTCAGCTGCCCTTTTCAACTCAAGGATCTCTTGCTCCTTACTTGATAGTGATTGTCGATGGTTAGCATCAATGACACGTTGATATGCCTGAATTTTCTCATTCATTTGAGCTTCACGGAACCTTACGTGTTCATGCGCCTCATGCTGTAAATTCTCTTTATATTGGGCACCCGCATTCAAAAGTTCTTGTTCTTTGATTCTAATAGCATCTAGGGCCCTCTGACTTTCAATGCCCTCGCGGATTCGCAAAGCTTCCTTCAACTCCTCAGTCTTGGCCGTGTGGATAGCTTCAGCCTGAGCTTCGGTATGAGCCAACACCTCACGATGGCGGAGCTCGGCCGCTGTTTCCACAAGGCTTGTCATCGCAGTATCATGTGAATGGACATGCAAATTCTGCTCGACAAAATTAACTTGAGGATTATCCATTTGCACATTGTGATGGAAAATGTTGTGAACGTTCATTTGGTTCAACTGGCGAGTCGGCGGCCCACTCTCCCGAGCGGCTTGGGGGACATATCCACGATGGTTAAAGCCGGCATGAGAAGGCACAATTGCGTTACTCAAATGCGGTAAGTGGCGTCTGTCCCTCAAACTACGCGATTTGTCGGAACCAGTGGGTGTGCTTATGTCAATGGAAAATGGGGTGTCTGAAATAGGCAAGGCTCCCGGATTTGCCATGGCTGCGTCAGAGGAAACGGGAATACCGGGGCCCTCAGGGGAAGTACCTGAGGGGGCAGACATGCCTACGAAAGAGAACGTTACGTTACGGCTGATAACCTGTTTTACAGGTCTACCCAGCCACAATGCAACTACAAGTAGACGCTTGTTTCTTGAGCCACGCACGACGTACATAGTATATATACAACCAGTGAGACAATGTGAAAACAGATTTAATGGTGGGTCATGGGTTTAATGATGATTTGTCTTTCCATCAAATTTTTGAGCATTTCTGTAAGGTTTCAACCGTGACAAGCAAGGATTTGAGCACCAAAAAGGGAGATTCAGCCAGCCAAAAACGGGGATATCAACCAAATGTGGATGCTATCCAAAGAAAACTGGAAATCAAAAGTCGGCATCTAACTTGTAAGAATGAGGTACTGTATCAATACCCAACAAACACAGGGATTTAAATTTAATCCAAAAAACAAGGATATTGATCGACCGAAATGGAATGCAAGACAATAAGATACAATAAGGATTGAAGACTTAGTCGACAAGAACGAAAAATATAAACTCAGGGACTTGATCAACAATGATATGGTTCACCCATTTTACAAGAAAGTAAGGCTCCAAACATCTCGAACCTGCGTGGGCTTCAAAAAACAGGAGTTTCAGTGCGTTGATCCTTTTACCATCCCAAAGCCCAAAGGTGGGGGATTGGCATCTGAAAAGCTGCCAACTTTCTGCACAGCGCGCAGCTGTCTGCAGGGGTCTGCCGTCCTTAAAAGATGTCCTGCTTTGCTAGGCCAGTTTCTAGGCCTATAAATTCCAATTTCACCTAATGAAGATTCAACCACCCCCCAAGGGAGCCTTCCCCTTTGAAGTAAGGCGTTTTTTTCTCGGATGGACCACCAATTGGGTCACCTTTCGGAGGGGTCGAATCGAGCTAGTTTCGACTACGAGTATTTGGACCACTGACCACTACGCCACTGGTTCCTCTGACCACTCTGTTGATCAGTGGTTACAACCGACTTCAGCAACCATTCACCTCACACTTTCCAGGTAGTCCTTTGCCACCTACAATCAGGACGGGGATCACTACCAACCCACTCTTTCTGAGTTGGATCTGCGGCCAAACCCCACTTTGCGGTCCATAGACGAGAGCACCTATCCACTCGTTGAGACAAGACGCATTTTTTTTCGCATCCAGTAAGAGCATGTTAAGTTGGTGAAATGCCTGCTTAGACCTTTTGCTGGCTCGTAAGTCCAAAAATATGTTGGTGCAAAATATCAAGCCTTTATCAAAGCCTTTGCAAATCTTTGTGCGAACTGCTAAGCAGTCGATGGTTTCTTTCCACTCACAGCACCACTCTCCAACCCAACCCGACCTCTGTTCACGTTTCTCCTCTTCACGTTGCTTCCACCGCGCATTTTGCCAGGTGTCATTCCTTTGCCTGGGGGGGCACACCATTCCAAGGTTTGTCCCCACTGGCTCACAACAGGAAGTCACAAACTTGTGCCTTTAGAGGTGTCGGCATGGCTTGATGTATGAAGAGTTTCTTTCATCAAAAGAGTCTAGATCTTGAAGCATGCTTGTCCAGTCAATTTGACTAACCTGGATGTGCATCTCAATTGGAAAACAGCTAAGAACTACTTTACTATCCAATTCCTTTTGCCCTATGGTTTTCCTATTTTTCCCATGTGTTTCCCATGTTTCCCCACTTCGAACCATGGTTCTTCCCGCCCCGCACCTCTCGTCCTGCGAGCGTTCCCGTTTGGCTGCCGGGATCACCCCCTCGTGGCGCTTCCAACGGTCGCCTTGGGAGCCCTGGGAGTTTTGGGAGGCCTCGGTGAACCGTGGCCGGCCCGTCCTAGAATCAACAAAAATGCTGGGGCTGGTGAAATGTCTCAGATTCATCACCCAACATGTGGAACATGTGGGGGGAATCGCTACCCAGAACCATCTCGGTGTGATGTTTAAAGTCCGGAAGTGGGACAGATTAGGATTTAACCAGCAAATGGTAGGGGTTGCCCTGAGAATCGGGAGTTTTACTTCACCAACAGAAGGTGGTTTAACCACTACAAGTGAGGGTGCAACCAACAACCCACAACAAATATTGCATATTAATAGTAACCTGTAGTTGACAAAAATGGGAGAGTTGATCTGTTCAACACCTGGGTGGCCGAATCAACAAACATGGAGAAAGGGCAATACAGCGAACAACAATCCCTGGGATTTACAAGCGGATATTACCCAGTGGTGGATATCACAAACATTCCAACTTTCAACCAGTATGACTGCGCAATGTTTGAAAGCTGAAAGAGGGGACCGTTCCACCGCAACAAGTTCTAGTACCAAGTCGCTAATGCATTGGACAGAACAGTTCCGGTTGACCAAAAAGCCCACTGAACCAAGCAAAATCAACAGATTCCACACAAAATTGCCAAAAAAAATCAACAAAATTGCCAAACAAAATCTGTAATTCTCCCAAAATCAAATGGAAATGAGACATGATGAGGAGGAAATCTCGGCCAGCGGACCCACTTGGACCCCGAATCCTTCTCGGCCCGGGGGGGTGGCCAAGGGTTCACCTTCATGCAGATGTCATCGGGATTTAAGCAAGAGATACCAAGAGACATGGGGAAATTTACATGATGTTACCCACAAAAAAATGGATTTCATGAGAGTTATATATATATATTACCAACAGAAATGGAGACTTTCAGTCGTAAAAATCAGGGATATCATTGGTTTCAATGAATTGGTTTAAGATGTTTAAGGGAAAATTGTACAGGAAACTGACTGGTCTTTTTTTCCCGCAGGGGGAAGCCCTCCACTCCTCCCATGTGTGTTGGTGGCCATCCCATTCTTGTTGAGTGCAACACGTTGGATCATGGCTAGGGCTATGAGTCAAAATGAGGGTACCAGAACTCACCCCCAAGATCCAATTTACAAATGGATGATTTGTACCTAGATCCAATTACAAAAAAAACAACTTTGGAGCGTCTTAAAATTTGCGCCTTCAGAATCATCCAAAATGTATCAAATGGTTGATTGATAGGGATTCCCCCTAAGGATTTTGATATTCCCCAATATATTGGTTGGTATAAATCCCCGAACTAATCATCAACCAACGATCATCGCCTGCCAAGGATGAACCACAGCTCGCTGGATCACAGGCGGTCGCTGCTCCTGAGCATTCTCGGGCATTTTTAAAGGGGAATCCCATCCCCTTTAATGTGGTAAACCGTTAAACCCAACAATAACCTATCCCCAATATTACCATGCATGGGCGGTTTAAACAGTTTAAACAATCCCCAAATGGGAGGTGTATTACTACGTTTACTATACCACATTGCATCATATCAAATACCACCCAAAATGAACGTAACATATTCATCACTAACCCATGATGCCGAATGGGTGTATTGAAAATCCAGGGGGAAAGGATTATGATGATCTCACCAGTAGTCTTGGGAAACTATACAAATGTTGTGCAAACATCTATAAGTTTGTGTAACAGAAACTGATTGCGCCCTTGGTACCATTTCAATGCGGGAAATGATGTTCCAAATTCCAAACCGTTGCGTTGGACTCTTTTCCACTGTCAGATGACTGCAGCAACTGATGACAGTGCCCGCCCCAAAAAGTATCCTTCCAGCTGGCTTGCTTCGGATGGCCTCATCCAAAGAATTGCTTCGGTATGATCAACTGACAGCCCTCTCACTTCTTGCGACATAACTGAGGTCCTGGCCCTCTTTCTTTGGAGGCGTCTTGGGAGGCGTTTGCGGCACCCCTGGGTGTCTACACAGAAATCTGTTCATTTGTTGATGGCTTTACTGTCATGGGATTTCGTGGGATTTTCCATTGAATTCTTTGCATACAGGAACATCTGAGATCCCTACTCTTTGTCTTTGAAGGTGGCTCACGCACACCTGCCGCATGATGACAGCTGCAAGTTCAATGAAACAAATATTCATGGTGACCAGCTAATCTCTTAGGTTGAGGTCAACCCCGATTGACAAACCCATGGACTCTCTTCTTTGCGGGCTATTGCGGGCTATCATTTTGATCGCCATTCATCACTTTTTGGGTTAATCTATCGAAATTTGCCCAAATCCGAAGGTGACATAATTTCCCTGCAGTAATTCATGGGACTCAATAAATCCATTTACCATACCTCCAAGTTTGGATGCTTATTGCAATTACGGTTAGTTGAAAAACCCACCCATCCTGCCACCCACCCATCTCCAGGCACCTTGGCTCGGTCGAGCCGGAATCGGTCTGCTGACCCCCGGCTTCAATGGAGCGGGCTGGCGCATCTGCGGCGGCTGTGGACCATGACGCTAGGAGGTGTGTGCACGAAACATGGTCGTGCGCTTAAAGTGCTTAAGAAGCACATAGCACATATTGGACTTCGAATGGCTGCAAATTCACTTAGATTTTTTTCCGTCCAACGCCTTCATGGCTTCCGCCAGGTCGTTCAACATGTTTGAGAGCATGTTGCAATTGGGATTAATTGATTAATTAAGTCATGCGTAGGCCGTTCCTGTAGAGTGGCCGCAAAAGTAAACTGGTGGAGGACCGATACATAGTCCTGTATGCTGCCACGATCATCCAGAACACAAAACGAAACAAAGCAGGCCAAAACACAAACAAACCACCCAAAAAAAAACAAACAGAAACACAAAAACAAACAAAACCAAAACCAAAACCAAACACCGAGCAATGACGTGACAGGTACCAGTTATGGGTGAAAAAGAGGGATTAAAGCAAGAGGTGATAGCTTAGTATCATCTCAATTCATGCATGATGACAGCTTGTGTGCCATGATAAAAATGGCCCCAAACAGAAAACAAGAACAAAGAAACACGACAAGATCAATAGGGGCCAATTCAGAGGGTGCAAGAAGCAACAAAGCTCAATGCCGAAACCAGGGATCCCCCCAGCCAGGATCCCCGAGATCACAAAGAGCAGCCATTCCGGCATGACATACACCCTGACACTTTGAAGCAAACACCGACAACGCCGGGTCGCAACAAAAGTGGTGAGAAGAGCTACCGCAGTGAAACAGGAGAGTGAAACATGGTCTAGTGTGAAAATGACAGCAAAACTAAGGCACTCAGGGCGCGCTCAGAGTCCGCTCAGTTGTCCTTTTTCTAGCATCAGCATCACAATTGCGGTTGTGAGAAGCACCACTGTGCTAGTGCTCCTGCAAGTAATCTTCATGGTATGGAAGATTGTGCTCCTCATCAGTACGTGGTGATATCTGTGCATTGAGCTCTTCCGATGACGTGCTAGCTCCTTTGGCTGTATGATCCAGCAGCAGTATGGCTTTTTGCGCTTGGGTTACTTCGTAGCTGGCAGAGATTGTACAACTATCTAATATACAGCCAGTTGAAACACGAAAAGGGGCTTAATTCCGAACACACATAACAAGTGCCATTGGTAGATAGAAGTCATACTTAATTCATATTAATTCTGATTCCATTCTATGCCATTCAAAGGTGTCTTATTGCTATACGCAAAAAGACACCTTGCAACGAAACGAACAACGGAAATCATCGGCAATCATCCCAAAGGGCCCAACGATGGAGCTTTCGGGAAACAGATCATGAAAAGCGATCATATAGAGACACCATGGAAACCGTGGAAACCTATAGAACACCATAGAAAAAAAAACAAAACACAAGACCCACGAAAGCAACAAAGCCATGTTAACTATGGTCACCATGGAAACCGGCTCGAAACCACACAAACCATATCAACACTAAAATCACACAGACACTATAGAAATCATAGAAATCGCATAGAGACCATCAAAACCATGCAACCCATGGAAACCATGTAAACCATGGAAACCGCATGGACCCCGTGGGAACTATATAAAAACCGCGTCGCGTTCAAAAAGGAGCTCGCTTACGCGTTTCAAAATGAGTAGGTTTCCGTGTTCTAAAATGGGGGGGGTGACTGGGTTGGTGCCTGGAAAGAATGGGAGAAATCATGGTTTTATCTGGTATTATACACCATCCAAATGGTGGAACCGTCCTGCAATTTTTGCCCTAAACCAATGCTTGGAAGCAAAATACGTGGCCAGGCCTTCAGCACTGAAGTTGCCTGGGACAAGCCGAAACGGAATTGGAATGTTCACCCAGCAGGCTGTGACTTATAACATCATCTCAACTGGGGTAAAACATCAATAAACCAACCCATTTGGGAATAGTTTATACATATATATATATCAGAAAAGGACGCTGTGCGCCCGTGTCCCCCTCTCATATATATATATATACACACACACCCCATATACATATATATATATATACATATTTATCTATCTATCTATCTATTATTCATTTAATATCAATAAAACGCTTCACCTCCCCTGTCTCTGCCGCACCTTGGGTGGTACGGGCTGCGGCTTCGGCGGCGCTTTGGGCAGAGCCGGCTGTGCCTTCACTGGTGGCTGCGGCTGCGCCTTGGGTGGCGGCTTGGGAGTAGGCTTCGCCTCAGTCGCCACAAATACTGACGGGAAACTCGTACCGACTCGTACCAAAAAGAGAATAAGAATTAATCAGAAAGTGAGAGATTATATATATATAATTATATATACATATTACGTATTCATCTATTTAATTGATTCAACCACGAAAGATTGGGATTTGGGGCAATGGCCACAACGTTGACCATAATTCTTGCTGAATTCAATATTGTAACTTCATCATGTTGAGGCATACCCCAAAAAGATGCCACGGTCCGGACCACATAACTGTTGCCAACACTTCAGGAGATGTTCCTCGACCCAAAGTTGCAAGAAAATCATCTCCGCCAGGTCTTGCAACGTCCATCATGTGTCCATGACATAGGTAAGACGGTAAGACAAAAATTCCTGCCAAACACCTCCAACTGAAGTTCCTCAATCCTCCAACCATCAACCCAGCCACTAAGAATTAAAGGCTAGCATCACAATCTCAGGCCATGACTCACGGGCTACCCTTCAAACCCCTGTCTTTTGGGGCCTCCAAGTCATAGATCATCATTTGCTCATTTTCCCTCTTGAAATGACCATCAATTGGAGGTACATCTAGTATACCCCACGTGTAAAACCCAGCTTTAGCTCCAAACTGGCTTTGTCTAAAAGTCTAGCAGAGAGCCCCAAAATGTCATGGTTTATCATCGTCCTTATTGAAATTGCCACTAAGTGGGAAATTGCCACTAAGTGGGATGGTACACCCCATTTCCACACACAGCAAAATATCATCATCCATCGCCATATATTCCATTATATATATATACACACATGTATGTATCCTTATCAAATTCCATATGCTATGAAAATGATCATAAGAATACCGCAAATGGGCCCATAACCATATATAGAATACATCATACAATGGGATACATCTATTTTCCATAGAACATATTCCATAAATGGGATGCCACATGTTTCCATTCAATATGATATATGTTCCGTAAAATGGTGATATGTGTGGCAATGGAAAATTCCGGAATCATCTGTAAATGAGGGATTTTCCAGCAAGCCAAGCCACGTTTGATTACCGGAGGGTAAGCACTCAAAAACTGCATGGACCTTTGAAAGATGTATAGAATACAGTGGATTAGCTGCAAAAATCTGATATAGCCCCAAAGAATTCAGGATTATACATGGAGTATTTTCCAAAAGCCTAAAATCCTAAAAATCATCCATGTTGATAGATTTCATAGCATTTTCCATTATAAACCATCCATTTTTGGGGGGAAACCTCTGTATTTTTCCCTCCAAAAACTGGACCACGGCACCGTTGGCCGCAGGGGCGGCGGAGCCGCCGGCGCTGGCCGTGCCTTGGGCGGAATGGCGGGCTTGGCCGGCGGGCGCGGCATGGGCTTCGGCTGGATGGCCTTGGGCAGGTCATGAAAAGAAATTGCTGCAGGAAAATGGTGAGAAATGAAAAGTTGAGGCATTTTTTGGAAAAATGGATGAAAATGAATATGAGACCAAGGAAAGTCTGAAGTTGGGTTACCAAATGCAACAGCAAAATTGTCTTTGAACCAAAAAAACATGAGGATAAATCACGTGCATCAAGGTAGAGGATATAGCTGTTGAAACTGTGGAATTCCACTGGTCAGGTTTAGGTTAGGTACTGAAGTTGTAAACTGACTCTAGAGCGAATCAATGTCTCAAGTCTGATGTACTATTGGATCCTTTTCGCTTCAAAGACTTTTAGATTTTTGACAAAGTATCGTCTCCATCTGGGAATGGCTCAAAACCCTTCAAAATTGCTGACAGCATCTGGTAGCTATGGATCTTCAAATATGGCCTCCACCTCCCCCCGGATCGGCTGGTAGCTCCCACCTTGGTCTCCATCAGCACCCGCTTCCGAAAGAAGATATCGGGGTTGAAGCGCGGCATGCTGAGCACCTCATTAGCCGCCTGACAGCGCACCAGCAAACGCTCCCAGACCTCCTTGTCCTTCACCATCCGCGCCACATTCACCATGCGATCTTTGATGGACCTCCGATGTATGGACATTCACCAGGCGGAAAAGCAAGAAATCATGGGACCGGGATACCTTTAGAGAAGAATGGGGTGATGTACACCATTTCTCTGCCATGGGTTTGGGCCACCCCAAGAATCAGAAAGGTGATAATTGACACTATAGATGGATTCCAAGATTAAATAAGACTAACAAAATCCCCAGAGATTCCAATTTTTAAGAAAGAAGCTGGATCTTCAAGTTTGACCATACCGACCAAAATCAACCTGGTATCTGGCCTGGCAGCTGGATCTTCCACATAGAAAAGTGATTTGTCGCTGACCTCGCCATAACACTCCTGCGCGCACTGCGCGGAACCGCACTGTGGGGTACCCACATCGGCCAATCTAGCGATGTGGGATCCACTTTACTACCCTTCCAAAAAACCGGTACAGTAAGATACAGTAAGAATCCCATTTATGTTGCCAACACCAACTTGCAACAAGTCATTCACAAACCTGACATAAGGCCTTTTCTTTGGATAGTTGCCCTTACCCAGATTTATCTTTGCGACTCCCAGCTTTTGATGGTTGCAGTCCTGAGCTGGCAGCACACGTATGCCACAGGGTCCTGCAGCATGAGGTTCTCGGAAACTGAAGCATACACTATGTGATGTGCTCCTTAAGTCATTGCATCAAGAGAAATCATCCTTCCAAGCCTTCCAAGGCCCACATGTCTACAGTTGAGTCCTTGGTTGTTCTGACGGCTTCTCGTTCCAAGGGCGCAGACCATCGAGAAGAAATCGGCCAGAACCTGCCGAATTTTCCCATGACAAGTGGGGAAGTGCCATGTCGCGCTTTGGTCATTTGAGGCCTAGGGAGTCCTCACAGATTTTGTCGTTCGTTATCGTCCTATTGGTGTTTTGGGTACCAAGTCTTCACCCAGGCCTATGGACAAAACCATGTTTCCATGGATATAGGATTGTTTTTGCATGTTCACCCACTTGGTGGATGACTTCATCGGTTGGTTTCCCAGCCAATATTGGCAGTGATTGGACCGATCTGCTTCTTCTACCCTCGAGTTGTTTCTTATCAACACTTCAGCCTCAGCCTAGGGTTCATCTTCGTTTGTTCATTGTTTCAAGTCATGTTTCTGAGCAATTGATTCTCTTATCCAAATCCAAATATCCTACACTGCAGAACTCGAACTGGGGCAAAGATGAAACCAAGTGCAAATATATTTCAAGGTTGTAGGGACATAAGGGGTTCTTTATTGCAAAAGGAAGATGTGCGTCAAACTTTTCTAGAGGTATTCATAACTACCTGTACGTATTATGATTCATTGCTGGGTTTTCACTCACCAATACACCCAATCAAAACACACAAGCCACGTCGCAATCCACACTCAGAAATCCGCTGGACAAACTTGGCCCAAGTGAGTATTGGACTTAAGATGTATGTTTCACAGAAACAAACAATTTTAGGTGGCAAATCCTCATGCGCGGCGTCGCTGCGCCTCCTTTTTCGGGCAGTGCCTACAAAGCTCCTCCGGTTCCCTCTTGGGAGCATCGGTTTGAGAAGCTTCAGCCAGGGCGTCGGATGGCAGCACTTTCTGACGAATCAGAAAGAACAGGCCTCAGGTGGGGTGGTCCGGGTTGTCCCAGAGATCCTCAAGTTACCATGTCATTATATCTATGTATATACATATCATGTCATTATATCTATGTATATACATATAATAACCATTAGAATCCATTATAACCCATTATAAACCATTATAAACCACTACAAACCAATATAACAAACCATAATCATTATAATGAAACATTATATTATAATGCTCATTATAGTAACCACTTGGATTAGTTGCTGGATTCCAGGCCCTTGTTATGATCCCATCACAGCTGAGGAAATTCCGCGCCAAGATACACAGCAGGGTCCATGCCAGTGGAGACCTGGGCGCAAGGGACCCCCCAGGCTTGGACCACTGGTGGATCACAATGGGTGGCCCCTCATGGAAATCGCCCTTGAATCCAAGCATATCTATCTATCCGTCTGTCTATTCATCTGTCTATCTATCTATCTATCTATCTATCTACCTATCTATCTATCTATCTATCTATCTATCTATCTATCTGCCTGTCTGTCTATCTATCTGTCTGTCTGTCTATCTATCTGTCTGTCTATCTATCTGTCTTTCAGTCTATCTATCTATCTATCTATTTATCTATCTATCTATTTATCTATCTATCTATCTATCTGCCTGTCTGTCTATCTATCTGTCTGTCTGTCTATCTATCTGTCTTTCAGTCTATCTATCTATCTATCTATCTATTTATCTATCTATCTATCTATCGGTCGGTCTGTCTGTCTGTCTGTCTGGTCTATCTGCCTTTCTATCTGTCTATCTGTCTGTCTATCTATCCGTCTGTCTGTCTATCTGTCTGTCTGTCTATCTATCTATCTGTCTGTCTGTCTACCTATCTATCTATCTATCTGTCTGTCTGTCTGTCTTTCTATCTATCTATCCGTCTGTCTGTCTATCTGTCTATCTGTCTATCTATCCGTCTATCTATCTATCCGTCTGTCTGTCTATCTATCTGTCTGTCTGTCCATCCGTCTATCTATCTATACGTCTGTCTGTCTATCTGTCTATCTGTCTATCTATCCGTCTATCTTTCTATCCGTCTGTCTGTCTATCTCTCTATCTCTCTATCTCCTTTTCTGCGCGTCTGTCTATCTGTCTGTCTGTCTATCTGTCTGTCTGTCTATCCGTCTATCTATCTATACGTCTGTCTGTCTATCTGTCTATCTGTCTATCTATCCATCTATCTTTCTATCCGTCTGTCTGTCTATCTCTCTATCTCTCTATCTCTCTATCTCCCTATCTGCCCGTCTGTCTATCTGTCTATCTGTCTGTCTGTCTATCTATCTGTCTGCCTGTCTGTCTATCTGTCTGTCTGTCTATTTATCTATCTGTCTGTCTGTCTATGTATCTATCTATCTATCTGTCTGTCTATCTGTCTGTCTGTCTGTCTGTCTGGCTGGCTGGCTGGCTGGCTGGCTGTCTGTCTGTCTGTCTGTCTGTCTGTTTGTCTCTCTGTCTGTTTGTCTCTCTGTCTCTCTGTCTCTCTGTCTCTCTGTCTCTCTGTCTCTTTGTCTCTCTGTCTCTCTGTCTGTTTGCCTGTCTGTCTATCTCTCTATCTCTCTATCTCTCTATCTCCCTATCTGCCCGTCTGTCTATCTGTCTATCTGTCTGTCTGTCTATCTATCTGTCTGCCTGTCTGTCTATCTGTCTGTCTGTCTATCTATCTGTCTGTCTGTCTTTCTATCTATCTATCCGTCTGTCTATCTATCTATCTGTCTGTCTATCTATCTATCTATCTGTCTGTCTGTCTATCTATCTGTCTATCTATCTATCTATCTGTCTGTCTATCTGTCTATCTGTCTGCCTGTCTATCTATCTATCTATCTCTCTGTCTGTCTATCTATCTGTCTGTCTATCTATCTGTCTGTCTATCTATCTGTCTGTCTATCAATCTATCTGTCTGTCTATCTGTCTATCTGTCTGTCTGTCTGTCTATCAGTCTGTCTGTCTATCTATCTATCATATCTATCTGTCTCTCTGTCTGTCTGTCTATCCGTCTATCTATCTATCTTTCTATCCGTCTGTCTATCTATCTGTCTGTCTGTATATCTATCTATCTATCTATCTATCTATCTATCTATCTATCTATCTATCTATCTATCTGTCTGTCTATCTATCTATCTATCTATCTGTCTGTCTGTCTGTCTTTCTATCTATCTATCTATCCGTCTGTCTATCTATCTATCTATCTATCTGTCTGTCTATCTATCTATCTATCTATCTGTCTGTCTGTCTATCTATCTGTCTGTCTATCTGTCTATCTGTCTGTCTGCCTGTCTATCTATCTATCTCTCTGTCTGTCTTTCTATCTGTCTGTCTATCTATCTATCTGTCTGTCTATCTATCCATCTGTCTGTCTGTCTATCTATCTGTCTGTCTATCTGTCTATCTGTCTGTCTGCCTGTCTATCTGTCTATCTATCTCTCTGTCTGTCTATCTATCTGTCTGTCTATCTATCTGTCTGTCTATCTATCTGTCTGTCTATCTATCTGTGTGTCTATCTATTTATCTATCTATCTATCTATCTGTCTGTCAATCTGTCAATCTGTCTATCTGTCTTATACATGCATTACATGCATTACTTAAATTACATAAATTACATAAATTACGTACGCTACATCCCATCACATGACATTACATGACGCGAGCATCTTATCATTCCATTACAATACAATACATGCACACACATATTTGTTGAAGAGGTTGTCTGGTACCTTCGGGGGACATAGACTGCAAATGCAAAATGCGGAAAGGAAGCTGAAGGTGCTTCACACCCAGGCTCAAACGCTATTTTCGCTGGAAAAGAAAGGAAAGCGACGACACCATCCTCTATTCCCAAAGAATGCATCAATGATCCAAAAATGATGAATGGCACTCCGATGTTCATCCCCAAAGTGGGATCACAAAATCACTATATACCTCGATATATCACAAACCAGAAAAACACGACATGTACATTGTTGTTCTCCAAAAATCCATGGCGTCCATGGCCAAGTGTCAGAGTCTTCTCATAGGCCTTGTTCAGGCCCTCAATCTTCGCCCAGCGCTTCACCAGGAGCACCATCGGCAGTGCCACCGGTGCCTGGCAGCACCAGCTTTGGATGCTTAAGATTACGATACCATACATCAATGGATAAGAACACCATTATACACCTTAGAAGTGGTCAATCATTGGTGGTACGTCATTGAAGATATAGTACCTGGAATACCACTGGATACCTGAAAACATCTTCCATTTTGTCTCGTTTGTTTTTGGGGGATGTGAACAGCAAAACAACCACGTTCTTGACGTATGACCGAATGGCGATGGATCAAAGCCATGGTAGCATGGTTTTCAGTTGTTCCTGAGGATCTTCATCCCCCCATGACCAAAAATAAGCTACCCCTAGATCCACTAGCCGATCATAATTTTCCCGATCAAAATCACCATTCTACGGGGTATCCTTCACAGTCACAGCCTATTCTGTAAAACCAGAGAACTTAGAGCTAGCCGCCCACGAATCATCTCCACTCCTCTCAGTGCGGCCTTGTTCAGCGCCGCTTGGATCATGCGGTCCACCTCACCCTTCGCCACATCCTCGTGGTCAGCCTCTCCTATGGAGATGTCCACCTGGCCAACGTAGCTACCACGGTACCCCGAAACCTCTGGTCCCCAGGGCCAAAAATTCTGACCCGCACTCGAACTTGGCTGGAAATATGATCTATCTATCTATCTACCTATCTATCTATCTATCTATGTATGTATGTATGTATCTATCTGTGTGTCTGTCTGTCTATCTGTCTATCTATCGATGTAATCTAATCTAATCTAGTCTATCTTGTTTTATCTTGCCTCACCTTACCTTACTTTATCTTATCTTATCCATCTACCTATAACTTGCAAACCATTGGCTTGGGTGCGATGTTGGTGGACACGCCCATTGGTGCGACCTGCAATTCGTAGGAACTGGATTTGTAGACTAAGATCAGGATGGGCACACGCACATGCCACTCATATCGCTTCTCCTGCCGCCGTCGGAGCAGTGATGGAAGCTCTCTGGTCTGGGTTTTGATCTACCCAACGCCAAATTAAAGCAAATGAAGAATTAATCTCCATTTTTTTACCATTTGGGGTTCTCATACTGGTTCCAATATTTTACCTTTTTAGGCTTCTAAGTTCTAGAAAAACCTAAGAAAGATTGGAATTTGCCAAGCGTTCTTAGATTACAATTTCAGTCTGACTGTGATACATAATTCTAAAACGACATTCCCATCTTAAGGTTCGTATAATATATATATATGTATGTATGTATGTATGTATGTATATGTTTGATGTATGTATGTATGTATGTATGTATCTATGTATCTATCTATCTATCTATGTATGTATGTCTGTATGTCTGTATGTCTGTATGTCTGTATGTCTGTATGTCTGTATGTATGTCTGTATGTCTGTATGTCTGTATGTCTGTATGTCTGTATGTCTGTATGTCTGTATGTACGTATCTACGTATCTACGTATCTACGTATGTACGTATGTACGTATGTACGTATGTACGTATGTCTGTATGTACGTATGTACGTATGTCTGTATGTACGTATGTCTGTATGTACGTATGTACGTATGTACGTATGTACGTATGTACGTATGTACGTATGTACGTATGTACGTATGTACGTATATACGTATGTACGTATGTACGTATATGTACGTATATGTACGTATATGTACGTATATGTACGTATATGTACGTATGTGTACGTATGTGTACGTATGTGTACGTATGTGTACGTATGTGTACGTATGTACGTATGTACGTATGTACGTATGTACGTATGTACGTATGTACTTATGTACTTATGTACGTATGTACGTATGTACGTATGTACGTATGTACGTATGTACGTATGTACGTATGTACGTATGTACGTATGTACGTATGAACGTATGTACGTATGTACGTATGTACGTATGTACGTATGTACGTATGTACGTATGTACGTATGTACGTATGTACGTATGTACGTATGTACGTATGTACGTATGCACGTATGTACGTATGTACGTATGTACGTATGTACGTATGTACGTATGTACGTATGTACGTATGTACGTACGTACGTACGTACGTACGTATGTATGTATGTAAGTAAGTAAGTAAGTAAGTAAGTAGGTAGGTAAGTAATTATGTATGTGTGTATGTATGCATGCATGCATGCATGCATGTATGTATGTATGTATGTGTGTGTGTCTGTATGTATGTATGTATGTATGTATGTATGTATGTATGTATGTATGTGTGTGTGTCTGTATGTATGTATGTATGTATGTATGTATGTATGTGTGCATGTCTGTCTGTCTGTCTGTCTGTCTGTAAGTAAGTAAGTAAGTAAGTAAGTATGCATGTATGCATGCATAATATGTATTTATATATATATTATATTTGACTTGGTACCTGGCCCTCCTACCCACCTTCACCCTTCCCACTATACCGCCTGGACTTCAAATCCCTGCAGTGGCAGGCTGGACTCTAAGCGGCGCAAGGCATTCACCTGTCGCGGGGATCAAAGCACAGGGGTGGGATGGGATTGGAATATCACCAATAGGGGAACGGTGGGTATCACTAATATGTCATGGGAATATCACCAACAATATGGGGAACATTAGGGAACCAACTTTGAAATAAGGCTTGAAATGTTGAAATGTCATACCGTCATACCCCTAGACTGGTTGAGAAGGCTTCCCATAAGTTGCCCTAGTTGAAGTAATTAACAAGGCTCCCTATCCATCGTTCCATTTTTCTCCCTATTTATCTCTCTCTTTTTCTCCAAACTTATGACTGTGTTTATCTTGTTATTTACAGTATCTCCCTAATTGGATCTATCATACGTCTCCATGTTCCCCATTTAAATGGCCACAAACCGGGGTATCTGCCTGCAGCATCCCCAATTTTGAGACCCGTATTTTGCGGCTGGGCACCTGCTGCGGATGTTTCTCCACCAGCTCAGGTTTGTCTCTCACGATGTAGAGGTCCAGGTCCGATCCTCTCCAAACTTCAAGGCACCCACAATCCCATCGCCCAAACTTAGAAGGAAAGAAAAAATCTCATCACACTTCCAAATTGATATGGGGGTGAATCAAAACCAAAACCTATTACTAAATTTAGGGTACCTAGGGCCTAAGGGTTTTGACTCAGAACGCTGCGCCAGGACCAGTCGCCTTCGAGGAAGGTGCCCTGCAAGATCGAACCAAAGCTCTTCACCCGGGCATCATCGCCCAGGACCCGTCGGGCAGTGTCCTCCAAGGACCCCTTCAAGCTGGGTTCAAAAATGTTGGATTTACCCCAAAAAGATGTTGGATTTACCACCAGTGATGATATTTATGGATATGTATGACAAGTTGAATGAGGAAAATAAGGAGAAACCATTGGCCATGGGATAACTCACAACTCTAAGCTTCACATGTGCCAGGGAAGGAGCCACTGGGCAAGCAGATGAGTAGTGTTGGACTTGAGACTGAATGACCCGCGATTTCAATCTCCCAAAAATGGTCCGCAGATGAATACCAAAATTGTCAAAATAGGTTTCAATCTTAAGATAGGCTACCCCAAACTCTCATGGTTGATTGTGTTTATCCCCGTTGAAATAGCATACAATAAGGGATTTTGCCGTTATTTTTTGGCGAAACCAAATCCTCAAATCCATTCAAATCCCAGTTTCAAGGTTGCTTTTATGGCCATTTGTTGATAGTAACTCTGTTAAATAATGTGAAATCCCAATTTCTGATGCCTAAATCCCAAGTTCTATGGAAATTATAGGATCCCAAGCAAAACCCTCAAATCCCAGTGTTACGCATGTTTTTCCCACTGACCTCAGCGGCTCCTGGATTTTGCTCTGCGCTTGTTTCACCAACTCCTCAAAGGCGCTGGAGGGCAGCAGACAGCGTAGCGTCTTGGCCATGCTTTGACCCTGCACGGTTTGGCTCAATCGACTCAATGGTTGGGGAAAATTATGGACATGCGATGATGCCTATTCTTTGGGTTTTGAGAGTTTGGGGTTGATCTTAATCTTGGAAATGGGAAATTGGTTGATCCACGTTTTTGCTCGATTTCTTGTGTTGGCTGTAAGAATATTGCAATGGTTTTACGGAAATTGTCCTTGCTTTCTCTTACACCTACTCTCCCATGTCAATTGCAACAATGTCAGTTTGAAGTTCTTTACCCCACTCGGAAATGCTGGTCAGTAGCTCACCTCACAGCGCACACGAAGAAGTCTCTGATTATCTCGTTCAGTGACTCGGGTATGGTACACCTACACCCGGAAAATTGCAATTTCAAAGGGGAAAATGATGATAAACCAAGGATCCAGCTGTACCCTCTTTTCAGACAGACTCATGTAGTGATACGTCGAGAAACCAAGAGCCTCTGCGTTGTGCGCGTGAGACCTTTGATGTCCAGCACGCCTTCAGTTGCCAGGGACAAAGGGACTGCGGCTGATGCGCGGAAAAGGAGAATAGGGGCAAGGGTGGGTCTGGGCAAGGGAAAATAGGTGCGTGAGTGGGTTCTTGCCGATCCATGGATCCAGTCGGGATCCAGTCGGACCCAGTCGGGATCCAGTCGGACCCAGTCGGGATCCAGTCGGGCACTAATGTCGGGAGGCAGCCAAATTCATAAAAAACAACATGTTTGCAGAGTTTTGGCACGTTTTCGGGTGATTTTAGCTGCTTCCCGACAGGTCCAAACGTGGTGCCAAAAACTCGAAAATTGGTGCCCGACTGGATCCCGACCGGATCCCGACTGGTCAAAAGTGCTGCCAAAAAATGCAAAATTGGTGCCCGACTACGTCCCGACTGGATCCCGACTGGTTTTCTTCAAAAAAACACTTATTTCCCAAAACTTGAGCACCTATTTCTGAAGTTTTAGCACCTTGCCGTGCACCACCCCCCCCCCTCCCGACCCCCCAGTCTTAAGCCAAACACGGGAACCTCAATGTATGTATGTATGCATGCATGTATGTAGGTACGCATGTATGCATGTATGCATGCATGTATTATGTGTGTGTGTATGTATGTATGTATGTATGTATGTATGTATGTATGTATGTATGTATGTCTGTCTGTCTGTATGTATGTATGTATGTATGTATGTATGTATGTATGTATGTATGTATGTATGTATGTATGTATGTATGTATGTATGTATGTATGTATGTATGTATGT